CAGTAGCATTAGCAGTAGCAGTAGCAGTAGCAGTTGCAGCAGCAGCAGGTAGGTACTAGCAGCAGCAGTGGTAGTAGCTGGTAGCACTGGTTGTTGTTACTGCATTGGCAGGGGCAGTGATAGTCGTAGCGGTAGAGGTGGTGGTGGTCGTCGCCGTCTTGGGGTTGTTGCGGTTCAAACTTTTGCAAACTGTAGTACCAGTAGCAGGGGTGTCAGCATTTGTTGCTGTTGCTGTTGTTTCTGCTGCGGCTGTTGCTGTTGATCTTGCTGTGGCGATTATGGTTTCGATTATTGTTCTTGTTATCGTTCTTCTTGCTATTACTAGTGCTGTTACTGTTTACCGTTATTCTTCTGTTGTTGTGGTCGCCGCCGTCGTGGTTAGAGTGGCGAGAGCAAAGTACTGTAGGAACCTCTGGGCCTATAACCCCAAAATAAAAAAGATTCAGAAAAGGAACCCGGATAAAGGCCCAAGGTTTCTTAATCACGTGCCTACATCACTCGAAGCAGAGGTCTGCTATGTGAAGCTCTTCCCCCAGCGGCCAGCGAAGTTTGCCAGTTTCGACTCTCTGGCCGGGTGTCGGGTTTAATTAGGACAGGTCAGTTTGGGACGCAGGGTTTAGGGTTCAGAGTTCAGAGTTGAAAGCTTCGGGGGTGTAGGACAGGTCAGTTTAGGACTCAGGGTTCAAGTTTAAGCTGAAGATTCAGGGTTGAAAGCTTAGGTGTTTAGGGTTTGGGGTTTCCGAGAGATAGTCGTCAGCTGCACAGGTCACCTATAGCTAGGCACGGGGTGCTTTTTCACCAAACCGACCGGGAGGCATCAACATGTCAGCCTTTGGCCTTTGATATTGGGATGTGCGATGAAATGCGTGTTTGGCACAGGGTTCAAGGAGGCTTGTAGGTCTCATATGTCGGGGTTTCTCGAAATTAGCCGCTTCGCTTCATCGTATGGAAGGATAACGGGCCCTGACTTGTGATTAGTGCCATGCCGGTTGAAAAGACTTACATACATGCTGATAGGTGTGGAATCGTATGCGACCTCGGTCCTCTTAAGCTTAATTTTGAAGCATGACACCGCCAGGGGTCTGTGCCCTAACACCGAAGCCTTAAGCCCTAAGCCACTAAGCCACCAACGTCAAGACCCCCACTCTCTTCAAAATTGCTGCGTAGTCCTGCAGATCATTGCTTCGGCATGCTTGTGAGTGTCTGGCACTGTTTGGCTTGCTTGCCTGCATCTGCGCTTTTGTTCCAGCACTAGAGCTATTGGCAAGGATAACCAAAGGTAGGGCTGTAGTGCCTTCAGTCGGGTTAACCCCATGAAGCTTATGTGAGCACATGGTGCATTGGTAGAAGGAGCTCTGATTCGGAAGTGGTTGGGACTCCCGAGCCCATCATGATGAACCACTCTGTTTACGGATCAGGGTTGAAAGTTAACTGAAGTGGGACTGGACATGAAGCCTCCACCTTATTGTGAATTGCTTTTCGCATCGTTTTTTAAGTTTGATTTTCGTTCTCAATCTCAAGACTGCTATGGCATTGACACCAGCCACACACACACGGCTGGTGCTCCCTTCGGGAGCACACAGCCAAGGTGACGCGATCCTTGATCGACGCTTATGTGGGCTCGTCTGGCGGCACTGGCACGTGGCGCAACACCGACGCGATACCGAAGCAGCGGAGTACCTTACCGGGGCTCATCCAAGAGTGCCAACACCGGGCTGGACTGGCCCTAGAGGCGCCCGGACTTCCAAGCTGATAAGGACGATGCCCCTTGCTTGGTCATCGGGGTATCTCGAGGACGTGACGGCGTTTCACGCGAGGCTTGCTATGATCTTGTAAACCCGAGCAACCCAAGAGGCTGCATGTATAGTACCATTCTGGAATTAGGTCCCAAAAGCCATGATATGGATAGTCTTCTGGGACCTAACTCCATAATGGTACTATATATGGAGCCTCTGGAAACCCCAACATTTTGGGGGTGCCATGAAATTCCGAGGCGAGCCGAAGACAACTAAACTCCACACGCCCTACAAGTCCCAAGCCCCCAAAGCCTCAATGTTTGGCCCTAAGCCCTGTAAACTCTAAACCAAAACAAATACACCCAACACCCCACCCTTGCCCTAAACCCTAAACCCACAAATGCACCCAACACCCCGAAAGCAGGAAGAACTAACTACTGAGCAGGTAGACTCTTCTGGCGCCGAGCTTCTCTCTGGCGATGCGCACCGTGCGCTCCAGCAGATGACCCTTGGCAGCCCTCAGGGCAAGCTACTCTTCATGGGGTCTACGAGGAATCCCTAGGCTTGTGAACGTGATTCATGAGATTTTTAAAGGTTTCATAAGGGTTTTATGATGGTGTGATCAGAAGAGTTTCGCAAGTGTTGTTCCCAGAGGCCTCTTGCTGTAACCCTGGTCCGGCTTCCTGCTTCTAGCGACCTAGGATGCAGGGTTGCATGGATTTTGTTGCGGGGTGTCTTAGAGGTACTTAGATTTTTTCAATATTTGGTTATGATAACCCCTAAGAAACAGCTAAAACTATAATTTGTGCTAGGGTTCCAAGTTCAGCATGGGTGTCATGTTGAGCAGATTTTGTCAGGACAGCTCTTCACCCTAAACCCAACACCTGTGTTTCCTGCCGAACGGCTTTAGAATGCCCCTGTTGCGAGTGCGCAGGGAGATACCGTCGCATTCATGGACGTCCTGCATTGTATCCATATACTACTCAGTAACATGGTAGCTGAGCTTCTAACATGTGACCTTTTGGGGGTCACTTCATCCTGCCACTATTCAATGCAATACTTATCGGTTGACCTGTCCCTCATTGTCCTTGTGCCTATATAGGTTAGGAATTGAAAAGTACCTGTTTGGCAATTTCAGGGCCAACGCATATACATAATACTTGGGCACACGGTTCCCGTACAATCCTATAGTAAAGCCGTGTATAGCCTGATGAAAATCCAACCACACTCTGGGCATCTTGGGCCGTGGAGCCTAGCAATAGTCTAAGCCCTAAACCCTTTCCCAACTCATAAGCGACGGCCGAGGAGCATCGATAGGCTCTTCGAGCACCAGCATACTGCGTTGTGGCTTGGGCATGCGGTTTGAAAGAAGATGGGGTCCAGGGTTCAGGGTTTTTGCGTTAAGTTTCAAGGTCTAGTGCAAGCTGGGTAGGGGTTAATGGTTTGGGCTTAGGTGGTTTCAGGGTTTAGTGTCGTATCTAGAGGGAGCACTCCTGTGGATCATCGGAGAAGTGTTTCGTGGGAACGAAGCGTCGGCTCATAGTTTTCAATGCCTGCTTGAGTTTCTTGTGTATCAAGATATAGCGGGCTCCTGTTGTGACTGCTGGCAGAGACAAGAGAAGAGTCTTTTTGCATACGGCTAGACATCCTATTCGCCGTCGTGTCGAGCTTCTTTGTCCGTTTCACTGGGCGCATATACCTGGCCGCAGAGTGGGAGTGATGACGCGAATGCTGTATACGAGATCCAGAAGCTGCAGTACCCATAGGCTTTGTAGTTCCTTTTTGGGACATAGACCACAACCAGGAACTGCAATGGAGCCTATTATTAAACTCTGGGAAACCAAGTTAAGCCTCATTAAAGGCTTTAGAACGTTTCCCGTGTATCGAGGACACAACATCGGCACACATGTGCTCTTGCCTCGTGTGATTTCTGAAAACTCCGGAAGTCCACACGCCGGAACCCTAAACCTGAGCTGAGCTGGCGCTCAGGCAAGCTGTGCCGCGCTTGGCTGGTCGACGTGGTTACGGGTTCTGTGAGAGGTTTACAGGGTTCTACAAGGGTTGGACCAGGGCTTTATGACGATTTGTTGAAGCTTCATACGGGTTTTCTATGTGGTTAGGCTTTAGGGTTTGGTGTGTTTGTGGAGGTTCAGGGAGTAGGCTTCTAGGCTTCTTCAGATGGTGCTGATGATGTTATAAGGAGGAGAAGGGGTCACCCCCAATGTACGACCTAAACCATGTCCGGGTCATTCTTTGCTAACACGGTTTGGTGAATCCCCAGAGGACCAAGACTCTTAGAGATATCAGCTGTTCCTCTATACTGCTGCCTTAATGCGAACGGTCTCATGGTCCCAACCCATTTGCTCTCTTCATTAGGGCCGATCTACTTGTGTTTCATCTCTGTTCTTATTTGGTGCTGGTAGGAGCTTGGCTTACCTCTCACAGATTCGTCAACCTCGGCTGAGCCAGAAGCCAGAGCAGAGCCCCTTCCAGCCGCACCCGCCGACTCCTTTCTGTGCCTCGGGGTTGAGAGTTTTGGGTTTAGCGGAGTTTAGCATGGGCACTCGCAACAAACGGTACGCCGACAGTAGTTTAACTTTGTATAAGAATCTCAGAGCTCGGGTTCCAGTTCGCCCAGTACTGCTCTTTGGACCCTCACAAAGATTGCATAGTATGAGCAAGGATATCTCAGCGTTACAGGGAACCCGGGTTGGAATGCTGGCCGAAAGCAGGCCCCTGCACCCTAGAAGCCACACCTGTAGCCCCAAACCCGACAAGAATACTAAGTTGTGACCCCACGACTGTAGTGCATAACTCAAAAAACACCCTAAAACCCCAACGCCAAGGCCCCTAAGAACCCCCAAATTTATGAACCCTACACCGTTTGCTTCCAAGTGGCTGGGCATGCAAAAACTCACTTTTTGCCGTTGTGGTTCGAGGCCTTTGGCCGATGCGCGTTGCCTTCCTTTAGCTTTAGGGTTGAAAGGAGCCCGGAATCCTAAACCCTGGGTTTACTTTGAGGAACCCGAAACCCTGAGCCCTAAGGTCTAGAGTTTACGGTCTCAGAGCTTTCAGGTTCGAGCTTTCGGCAGGATGTGGGATTTTACGGCGCGAGGCTCCGTAGAGTAGGGCTGAGGATCCACAACTTTCGGGCTTCTGCGTGCTTTTGGCAGTTTCCTATACTACAATGCCTAAACCCTGAACCCGTACCAGCCATAAGAATAAGGGTAGGTACCTCCATCACTGGAATGGACTCCCTCTCTGATGTCGCAGGCCTGGTGCTGTCTGTCGTCAATCGTTCGGATTCAAGACCTGCAATAAAGAGCCTCAAATCCCAACCCTAGGTATAGGGTTTAAGGATTTTTAAGGAATCCTTGGAGGTAAGGTGCTTTGGGAAACCCCGAGGGTAAAGTTGAAGAAACCCTTAGGGCTTGCTTAGTGAAGCAAGGAAGGCGCTAAGGCTTGGGTTTGGGGATTCAGGATCATGCTATCAGGTAGAGGGCTTGGGAGTTTCGATTTGATTATCGTTTGGGGCTATGGATTTGGGCTATGGCTTCTGGAGTCGAGCCTTACCTTGCAGGCCATGGCAGACAACTGCTTCGCATGGGCACGGGCTACGTGAGAACATGTGTTTTTCTTTCTGTCTTCGGGGTGGGTTAAGTGTTTGTACGGTTGAAGTGCGATGTGCTTACATTGACAGCCTATACAGCTTTCAGGAGGAAATATTCTGGTCCGCTTCCTTCCTTTCGCTTCTCCTGGCGGTTCTAACATCTTCCTTTCCCCGGGAGACCCAGCGAGGGTCTTTGAGGCAAGACCGGCTACCACAAAGACCGTGAGAGGGATTCCTCGGTCCCAAGGTTGTTCAGCCAAAGCAAAGATCTCAAGTTGTAAGTACAGGGAGGGAGAGAGACCGATCGTTGTGAAAGCCTTGATCAAAACTGAACCATCGAGTCTTCGTTTCTTTCAGTAGAGCAATTCACCTTTTTCGCGCCAGGGCGCCCGCGACCATTGCTTTCCGAGCTGGCGGCCGGCTGCTGTGGCCTTGTGGCAATGATGGGGTTTGGCAAGACTTCGAGTGCCGTGAAGTGAATGGTTTAGGGTTAAGGGTCTTTGGTTACGGCTACGGGTTTGGGTTTAGGGTGCCTTGCATGAGATTTAATGAATCCAAGCAAGTCGCTAGTTTCAGGAATTGTGGTTTACGGACTCGCGGTTGCACATGGGAGTTCCCACAACAGGTGAGCCCAGCAGCAGAGACCTATAAGTCGTAAGATCTTTTGTATGAAGATCCCCCAGCGCAGATGCGACTCTACGAAAATTACCGACAGCCAATATCGCTCCACTTGCATTGGGGAGGTGCTTCTGTTGCTGATCGGCAGCGAAGCGCTTTTCCCCTGGCCCGAGACTCAGTGTCGAGCTTGAGGAAACAACCCTAAACCCTAAACCGATGCACCAAAAGTCTCCAATGTATAACTATGAATTCATAATGAACTATACTCCTTGACTCAGTTATGGGTTGCAGGGCTCGTCGGGTTGTTGTCTAGAACCTCGCCCCCAATCACACAGCCAACCCCAACTCCTGGGCATTCGGGGGGTACACCCTCAACTCGATCTCGCCAGAGCCTGCGGGACCCATAGGAATCGACCCGGAACCCTGGTCTTTAACCCTTAACTAGGTTGGATTTGGGGACATTGGTTATTTTCCTTTTTTGGGTTTATAAGGGACCCCATATATAAATATTCTTCAGGGTGTTTAAAGGCCAACCCAGTTAACCCAAAACCCTAAACTCTAAACTCTCTAAACCTTATAAACCCTAAGCACGGAAACCCGGACTCCCCAACTCCCGAAGGCCGAACCCGAGTCCCCAAACCTTCAGCTGCCTTCAACGGCAGGTCAAGCCAAAGCTCCCTTTTTGAGCGCGGGTCTCAGAGTGTCTCCAATCCGCAAAATATATGGGGGTCATCATGATAAGGGTCCTACTGTTTAGGATACTATACTAGGGTCCCGTATCTTCGGGGTACCGTAATTTAGGGGCCTCTAATTACCTATACTATTTTGGTGGTTCCTTATCATAAATTAGGTGGTGAAATACCCAACCCTACTCTAATTATTTCCGCTATATTAGCGCATCCAGGGATTTCAACATCTTAGGCTTGTGTAAGAGCTTGCAAGTTGTGCAACAAAGGTGTTGTTGCGTTGAGACATACTCGAACGACTTTCATAAATTGAACGGGGCTACTGGTGTACATTATAGTAGGTATCTAGACGCACAACGCCGGAGTATTACTGCTAATTCTTCAACCCGCTATGGTACCTTGGCCGGCTTAAACCTTGCATCACCTTGGAATCTGAGTCGCTGCTCTGTAAAGGGCTCACTAATATTGGAGGCCCTGTTTCGAACCATTTAAAGTGGAGGATATTTATTCAGCAGGGTTTGCTTTGAGGTTTCTGGGCTTTGGAGAGTGCATTCAGCATGGAGCGCAACGAAAGCATCTCCTACCGAACGTCTGTTGATGGCGCAAGCCTCCCAAGACCTTGGAAGCGTGAACCTGGGCCCGCACACCCCCAATTGCTCTAATGTAGGAACCTGGTTAAGAAACCTTGGGCCTTTATCGGGGCTCCTTATATGAATCTCCTACTATTTTGGGGATATAGGCCCAGGGTTTCTTCGAAAACCTAAACAATCCTCAGCACCAATCCACTAATGAGCCCTTATAAACCCTAAACCCAACACTGGTGAAGATCTGCCCGAGCTCGAGCCGCCAAGCAGATACCGACTTCAAGCACCTATGGTAGAAGCCCCAAAAGTTGGAAACCCAATAGCCTCAAGCCTTAACAGTAATGTATAGGGAATCCCAGCACTATTTGGCCTTAGTCCGGTTTCCAACTTTATGGGGTTTACTGTAACTGGAATTGTCCGAAGTCTTGGTTAGGGTTTAGGGGATCGGGTTTAGGGTTTAAGGGGATCGGGTTTAGGGTTTTAGGGGATCCGCGGGTTTAGGATTTAGGGCTACCTTCCCTCCACTGCCTCAGAAAGAGCACTCGAGCTTCGAAGCATGGAACTCCCCAAGATCCTGAAGCGCACTGTTTCCCCCAAAGCCTGAGTCTCCTGATTCCGACCCCTCTGTGAATCTCTCACTCAGTAGGACCCCTTGTCAGGCAGGGGGTTTACTACTCAGCTCGCTTTGCGGTTGCGCCTTAAGCCCTGACCAAATTCTAAAGGCCTTTAAGCCCTAAACCCCATAAACCGCTGAACTTTAAACCAAAAACTCAACCTGAGCTAGGGCTCCAGAAACCGACCGTTTTGGGTGGTTTTACTATGTAAATGAGGGGTCATATCCTCATACTTGACAAATTTTGGGGATACAGGTATAGATTAACCCTAAACCCTATGGGCCCTAAACCCTGAAACCCCAGGCCCTAAACCCTAAACCCCTGAAACTGTCAACCCTAAATCCCCGAACCTCTAAACCCTAAACCCTGAAAACTCGCAACCCTAAACCCCCAAACCCCTAAACCCTGAACCTTGAACCCTTAAAAACTCCCGACCCTAAACAACCTCAAAAAAAAACAAACCCTTAACGCTCAAAACTCTTAGCCGGGTCCTACATGACCTACCCAGAGATCCCAATACCCCTTAAATAAGGAATACACCTTAGAGTATAGAGGCCTTAATATATTATGATTTAAGGTACATTAATTAAGGAATATACCTTACATTATAGAGGCCTTAATATTCTGATTTAAGATATGTTTCTTAATTAAGGGGTATTAGAATCCCCTAAACCCTAAACCCTATTAGATCCCACTTTAAAGGAACCCTGGGCATATTCCTTAATTAAGGGGTATTGGGTTCTCTGGGTACTGAAGTTCCCTGAGCCTCAGCACCAGGCGAGATCCATGGAGCCTCGAAGAGGATCCGCACCGGGGGAGATTTGTCAGGGTGTGTTACATATACCAAGTATAAATAAATAAGGGTACCCCCCTATATGGGGTCCCCTGGGTTTTGGCACACCCAAACCACTAAACCATTAAACCATTAAACCATTCCTTTTGCTCCATACCACTAAACCAATAAACCATTAAACCATTAAACCAATCCTTTCCCCCAATGGACCCAAACCAATAAACCATTAAACCATTAAACCAATCATTTCCCCCAATGGACCTAAACCATTAAACCAATAAACCATTAAACCAATCATTTCCCCCAATGGACCTTAAACCAATAAACCATTAAACCATTAAACCAATCATTTCCCCCAATGGACCTAAACCATTAAACCATTAAACCAATCATTTTCCCCTATAGAGAGAGACACATCCCTGTATGGGCCGAAAGCATTGGTTTAATGGTTTAATGGTTTAGTGGTTTAGTGGTCTAGTGGTATGGAGCAAACGGATTGGTTTAATGGTTTAATGGTTTAGTGGTTTAGTGGTATGAAGTAAAGGGATTGGTTTAATGGTTTAATGGTTTAGTGTTTTAGGTGCATTGGGGGAAAGGATTGGTTTAATGGTTTAATGGTTTAGTGGTTTGGTGGTATGGGGTAAAGGGATTGGTTTAATGGTTTAGTGCTATGGGGCAAAAGGATTGGTTTAATGGTTTATTGGTTTGGTTCCATTGGGGGAAAGGATAATGGTTTAATGGTTTAGTGATGGGTCTAGGGCTGCCTACTACGCAGGTGTCCTGGTTATAACCGGGGACAGAGGTTATAACCAGGCTGCAAAATACGTTCAGGGTTTGAAGACTCCCGCCGTGCCCTATAGATCAAATGGATTGGTTTATTGGTTTGATGGTTTAAGTCTTCCGTGTCGTATCGCGCAAGCGAGCCGGTATAATGGTTTAAGTCTAAGTCTCCCCCAAACCCTAGCGCCAAACCCTAAGCAGTAAAACCCAAACCCAACACTTGATGGTGAACCTGCAATATTGGTAAACTGTGTCGAAACACCGGGGGGCTTACATACCAGGGTTGTGGTTTGTAAATTGGGGTGCCTTGATTGTTTGTTGCACAATATAAACCTTACGAAGCAAATCTGTGCCACCGCTACTTCATCAACACCTAGACCTAGATCCAAACGTTCGAAAGTTTCGGTGTTTCAGGGGAAATGTAACCGCAATGAAACTAAACAAGGACTAGAAGAAGGTCCGAGGTAATTGGCATGTATTCGGTTGTTGAGGCATGATGCAGTGCTTTGTAACAAACATAATTCCGGGGACCATATGCGCATTCCCCAACTTTAGCGGAAAGGCTATATGGCGGACTTTACATAATGGTCTGTCCGTTTCAGTACATCGGGCTTATGAGACCTATGTACACATTGAGAGAATAGCCGCTAACATGTCAATGACCCAGGAATCAAAATGCGGAAGATGAAGGGTCTCTATCGGGATTACAGTAGGTCAGTAAGTGTTGTCAACATTGGAATATCACGGTACACAAAAAGTTGAGATACGACTGATACGACGTCATTGTAGGGAGAGATAGTATATCAAAGCTTACAGCGTGGTCAGGTTTCATCACTTCGTACATAGGCGAACTGGTTGCAACGTTATGTTCAAACATCGTTCCAAGGAAGCAGGATTTCGATGAGATAAAACTGATAAGAATATGTGTGGTGAGCGATTTGCAACTTGCAAACTGTTAGGTTTCCTCGCTCGGTACGTAGAAAATTCCTTGCAATGCTATTTCCAACTACATGGATGTACCTCTTTCGAGGAGTGATTCGGTGTGTGTTTACCACTTTTTCTAAAACGAGGAGCACGTTCTGGATTGGGAACAATGGCTTCTGTTCGACCTTCAGAAAATATTCACAAGAACACAAACAGAAATTCGGACAAGCTAGATGTAGCTTTATGGTTTTCAGTGAGCTTTACGTGATGGTTAAGGTATGCTGATACAAAAAGCACAGGCCTCATCTCTGAGCATATAGAAACAGTGCCAAGCCTAAGAAGCGACGCTTCATGTCGTCCCCCAGGAAAAACACTGTACAAAGTTTGCCAAGCTTGTAGTGTGCAAGTTTTCAAGTTTGGCTTGGGGCAGCCGTCATACAGAAATAAGGAATGCACCACTCAAATATACCTACCGGATATACCAGTGTCTACAAGCAATCACATAGGGGCACAGGGATATGTCATTGAAAGCTATCAGTTTGCCAAAACGTCATAGCAATGCGCCCAACAACAGAGACTTTGATGGGATTGCGGCATTACAGTACAAAGATGGAAAACTTTTCGTTCCAAAATTTAGTTCGCGATAAGGAATGACTGAACCAAACTAATGACTACAGCACGCTTGTTGGAAAAAACTGAAATATCGATAATGTATACCTGATTATAAATTATTCGAACGGTTATAACCTAGTCGGCTGGTTATAACCTAATCGGCTGGTTATAACCTAGTCTGGTGGTTATAGCTCAGTCAGATGATGTAGCGAAAAACGTAGGGGACCCCAAATAGGGGTGCGCCCATAAATAAACATATATATATATATATATATATACATATGATATATGACATATGTGTACATGTGTATATGTGTTTATTTATATACATACACACATACTGTGTATATATATATATATATTACATATATGTTTATATTCATATATATATATATATATATGTATATATATATATATATATATATATATATATGTATATGGCTTGGGAGACTGATTTTGGCTGGGAGCAGGTTTAGTTTGTGGTGGTTGAAATAGGGTTTTTTTGTTTAGGTGTCGAAGGCTTAGGGTCGGTTCAGCGTGTGTTTTGTCGTTTTCGCCAAGTACGTTAAAGATTCGTGTGCCCGTTTAGTCAGGGGTTGTCCTTTTTCGCAGGTGAAGGTTTCAACAGTTCTCTAACTGCGATTACTTCTGTCGCCCAGTTAGGGGGGGTACCTTTATGTTGGGGGCCTTAATAAGGATCCCACTAGGTACTATATTAGGTCCCCTATTTTCGGATACTCCCAGAGAATATGGCAGAGCCAAGCGCCGTGGGGGAAGAGGCGCTGCGTGTCTTCAACGCTGTCGAGGTGGCGCTTCTGGTGGTACCGGCCGAAGCGGGCGAGACCGTTGCCACATTGACATGAACACCTCTGTCGGGCGTTCCCGTTGTCCGGTGGTGCAATCCATTGGGTTGCCGTCAGAACATGAATCGAATCCTTGGGAGGCGGCGGATCTCTTTGCCCGGAGAGCTGGCTGGTGCAGGCTGGCCCTTGGCCTCATGGTCCAGTGCTCCTCAGTGGTACCTTACAGAGCACCACTGGGACCGGAACCGACCGGAAGCCCGCCTACACTGGCGAGAGGCACCTCGACGATGTAGGCAGAAAGAATGTGCGGCTGGATTCGTCATTGGTCGAACCATGTTGAACTCAGGCCCTAAACCCTATGGAAGCCTTAGGAACTTTAATCTTCCCCAACCCCTAAGCTTCTGGTGGCCGCCCGAAGCCACAAACCGTTACATAAAGGGCTTGAGTATCAACCAACACACTTCCTGAGGGTTCCTGGCTATACGTATACTATATTCGTTTTTTGATTAAACCCAAAGCCCCGCTCTAATCATTCACGCCCATGTACTAATAGACCTTACACCGAAAATCCCGTAAAGGAGGCCTTTCCAGGGAACCATTTCCAAATGCCCAGAAGTGTTTTAAATTTCAAGTTCTTCCCAAGTCCAAGTACCCAGAAGAGCCCTGTGAGGCCCAGAGGATTCTCGATGAGATTGAGATCGAAGTCAGCCTCCAGCAGGTGCCAGCCCCAAAAGTTTAGACATGTGTTTGGGTGTTTAGGGTTTAAAGTTTAGAGTGTTTTCAGGGGCTTGGAAGGCTTTAAGGGTTTAAAGGGTTGAGGGTCTAGGGTTTAGGGGTTTTAGGTTTTAGGGTTTGTTGGCTTGGGTTGACATGAGGTGTCTTTGAGCAGGGTTTAGGGTAGGTGTAAAGACAAGTCTTGCCGATACTACTGTTGCTTGGGTACTCTAGTTGTCATTGCTTTTGCCATGGTATGTTGCCATCGTTTGTACTGCATGCTACGACATCATCGTGCAGTACACTGCATACTGCTCACAGAGTCTATGTTTGTAAGCACGTCTACAGCGCCACATATTCGCACAATTGTTGTGGACACAAGGGCTATCATTTCAAACCGGGTACCAGCCGCACACCCTAGATCCCAACCCATAAACCGCCAGCCCTTAGCCCTGAACGCTCCAAACCGACCCAAACCCTTGGAAAACCTCTTAATTGCTTAAGTCTTTAGACAACTCTCAGAAAGGCCGGATAACACCGTCGTAAGTCCTTGTGAGGCACTAAATCAAGGCCTAAATGGCTCCGCATCTACAGCCCCCGGACTGCTGCCGTGCGGCACTTAGCTCAAGCATATTCCTCTTCCTTAACCTACCAAACCCTACTTTTTTGTAGGTTCTGCTTATAAAGCCTAATATGGAATTTACAGGGACCCTACAAAAAAGTAGGTTTGGTAGGTTAAGGTTGATCATGGCTCCGGCCTTGCGAGGAGCAAGAGCGACTTCGTCGCCTGAGCGGAGATGCCTTTGAGGTACCCCACCGAGAAACCTGCGGTGTTTCCTGGAGTTACAGTTACATAGGGTTCTACTGGTATAGGGCTATGGAGTTTTATGGAATCCCACAATCCGCGGTGCTCAACCACGCAGATTGTAGCATTCACCCCGAGAATTCCAAGTCAACCAGCGGACTAGTTATTCGTCATACTTGTTGGCAGGAAGGTTTTAGGGGGTTGTAGGACACTGTAGGGCTTGGTTTTTGACGGTTTTGTAGTAGAGAGTTTGCACGGTGTTGGATTGATTTGTGGTTACGGATCTACAAATTAGGCTTGCTCTGGGTTTCTTTCTGTACTTCTTCCTGTTCACCGTTATGTCCCGGTGTTGAAACGGGACAGGTTCTAATGCTTGGCATGTAGGCGAAGGGCTGAGGTGTCATCACATGAAAATTTGCTTAGATCTCGCGAAACCCTGCTCCGGTAGATCGCAAAAATCGATCGGCGAGAGAACACATCACCCACATATTATTATGCTTAGCCCAGTCGTGTTTTCACATACACCGTTGCAGGTTCAGTGATACTCCTGTATGCACATACATGCAAATTTATGTATGTATACATGCACTGACATACTACTTCCTGCCTGCCTTCCCCCTGTTTGCCTCCCGGCCTACCTACCATTCTGCCGGCGCTCGAATTGACCGATCTGAATGTATCTGTGTATATACGGATGCTTATATGTGTGCACAATATACATACACCTTTTCATACATCCATAATATACATATCTACGTATATACCCATACAGATTATGGACATGATATCATACTGTCTCCCGTAGTGCATGTATGCATGCGTCGACGTATGTATCTCAGTGTGTTTATTGCCTGTCCGTCTGTAGGCGGGTATAGTTGACTGGGCAGGGAGGGACGTTTGTAAGTAGGTATGTAGGCATTGTTACTGTAACTAGTCTATGCCGTGCATATGTACCACCAACAGATCTCTGCCGGCTGAGGAGCCCAGCCGCGGTCTCTCACCCAAGCCCTGGTTCCAGGAGATGTCGGAGAGGCGCGGGGTATGAGCATTATATGAACAAAGAGAAGAAGACTAGTGAAAACAGGAGCCATGACAGATAACAGCTGAACTAAGCATACGCATAGCATGACCCAGACATTACAGGTAGTTTCGGTGATGCTGGCGGAAAGTAGTCAGGCACAAAACGGAAACTACACATAAGAAGCGAGCCGTGACAGGGATAGCGCCCTGCTCAAAACCATGGTTGTATTCCTTCAGCCACATCACCTCCTCAGGAAAAAGCGGGACTCGGCACCACCGAAAGGTCCCAAATGCCCGAAGAACGGAGGAACAAAAACTGGGAGCTTCAAGCTTTTCATCCTTTCAGTTTTCAGTTTAGGATGGAGGGTTTATGCTTTGGGATTTTGGGTTTGGAGTTTAGGATGCAGGCTTTGAGAAGGGTTTGTGTATATATGCCGTATAGAGAAAATGCCACATGGGCACATGGACACTGGCGTTTTCGGCTTTGGCCATTGCTTTTCTTGGTTTAGGAGTTTAGGGGGCTTTGAGTTTGGAGGGTTTACGGTGTATTGCTCCTCCTCCTCCTACTTCTACTAATGATAATCATCATATATGACCAATAATGATAAGACTAATCATTAGTGCTGTTCTGACAGCTCCCTTCTGGCCCCCGGAACCTCTACTCTCTTATTCTCTGGACCATGGACCGGTCCACTTCGCTCAAGGGTTCATGTTCGGCAGTTGCCCCAAGGGTCCAACTACCCAATAATCATATACTCTGCAAAATCCTGACCTACATAACTACTATCCTAAAACCGAGTACCTGATTATTGGGTCCTTGGACCCTTGGGGTTGTAACTAGCCGCCTGAGCGCTACAAGACCAGGCTTGCGTGGGCTGCATCAACCTCACATGTGTTGCAGTCTTATGTAACATAGAAGCGTTTGATGTGGTACCAAACAGTATAACATAAAGTAGCCAGAATACATAATATAGTACAACATAAATAAAGTTTCATTGTGATGTCATATGATTGCAATGATATGGTGAGATAGGGTGTGATATACTGTATTCTATCATAGTACTAGACAACATAGTATATCGACTTTTAATATAATACAGCACAGTGTAACCAAATCTGATATTGGATTACATATGTAAATGCAGAGTAATGCAATATGTATTGGCATACACACACACACAAGGAGCAACTACAGCAGGTACATTGTGCAATACAATCACAGTTGTATCGTATCATACGACCCGACAAAATATGGCATGTGTATAGCATATCAAGATAAGACTAGAAGGCCACAACGCAAAGTACTGCGGGTTTTCGGATCAAACCAAGTGGTTGAAAATACAGAATTCACAATTCTATTATCCGTTAGGGCTCCTTTGTTATGGGTGCACAATAAGTTGCCCCGAAGCTCTGCTCATGTTGTTACGGGCGCCCTATATTGTGTCTTTCCGGAAGGTATGGCGCACCTCTCCAACAACATCCGCAGAGGCACAGCGCTTCCACACCCACGCCTAAAGCCCTAAACCCCATAGCTCCTCCCATGCCAGACTTCAAAGGTCCCATGAGGTGTCTTCATATGGGCATTTCCGAAAACTAGGGGTGCCTTATTTTGGGGTCCTTATAATATGGATCCTACTATTTTCAGGGTGCTAGATCAGGGTCGCCTATTTTCGGAAACTCCCATATGTCCCTCGGGGGCCGAACCTGAAGCTGCTTGTTGTGAGTGTGTGCGACAATCTCAGCATAGTTATGTGGAGAGTTTTGCACATGCACATACATAACATGCATATGCATATATGTGTATGCGTGTATGCATGTGTGCTTACATAATTTGTTGTACTTTTGGTTTGTTTTACGTGTGAATGTAGATGATTCTGCGCATATGCGTATGTAAGCCTTATAGGACCTTTGGATTCCGAGACTTCCAGAACGAGGAGCAACAGAAAGGGAGCGATGTCGAGATAGCCAGCAAGCATGTTGGTCGTCGAAAATAAGCACGTCACCAGACAGATAGAGCGGATAGGTCCACGTACGGACCGGTAGCTTCAGACGTTGATGCAGAGAAAGTTTAGAGAGAAGGGGAAGCAGAGGAGCACGAGACTGACAGTTGCCTCAGAGTCACAGATGCGTATCTGGTATAGAAGCCTGAATAACACCCATACTCTTATTCTTTAGGGTTCCTTATTACAACTCTAGTATACCCCCAACACCCTATTCTAATTGTTATCGCCGCTACATTTCTGTCTTGCCTATGGTTCTGGCTTTAAATCGGCTTTGGATTGCTAACGGGCAGAGAGGACGTATCATTCTCGATGCTGCAATCATACTATAACTCCCCATGAACCTCCAAGTGGTGTATTCACGCAAGTATGGGTCGAAGCAGCAGGTTGCTGGCAAGTCGTTGGAACATCAGTCGTCTCTGCCATGCTTTCTATGCGGGGACCTTGCGCGCACTGGAATCTGAACTAAAATAATATCTGACTCTCGAAAGTATACTTTTGCTACACTTGAAAAGCACGCTAGTCACTGGCAGGACCCTACAACTCTGAACACTACCTAAATGAATTAACTGGTTTCTCAGTGTTGCTCTTTGTATCGCCTATGTCTACGCATCTTGGTGCACCCTAGCCTTGCTGGTGCTTCAGGGAACCTGGAGAGTGGATCCCGATGGTAGTCCCCATATGACTAGTTTAGGAAACTCGTGTACCCCTAAACCCTACCTACACCCTGAATAACCTAGCTTTTTCGAATTCCTTATTATGGTTTCCTTATATAAGTCCTTAAAAAAGTAAGTTATTCCGGGTAAGCTAAACCCCTACCCCAGAGCAGCTTCCAAGCTTCAGGTATGGCCTTAGGCTCGGACGCCGGTTGGAGGCCCAAGCGCGATGCTCAAAGCAGTGCGAGCTTTTCTGTAGTACTCGTTTCGGGTTTAGGGTTTAGGGGTTTAGACATTAGATTTTACTACTATCCTGCATTACTATGACCTTAAGGAACCTAAACTATGGGAATTATGGTACATTTCTTACTATGGGTAATGCAGGATCTATTTCATCAACCGTAGCTGGAACTGCATTAGGTTTTAGGTTTTTCGCAGTGCTTGAGAAGGAACTTGTAAAGGTTTGTAAAGATTCGATTGAAGCTGTTACTGCGATCATGGCTGCCACAGTTGCAGATGTTGGTTTCGTATTCTGGTGCCCCCCAACCTCACATATGGGAGTTTCCGAAAATCAGGGACCCTAATATAGTGCCCCAAATAGTATAATACTTCCGAAAATGAGGGACCCTACTATAGTGCCCCAAATAGTAAGGTCCTTATCATAAGGACCCCAAAATAAGGTACCCCTAGTTGTCGGAAACTCCCATATTTAGGCCATAAAAATCCGAATCCTGAGGCTCTCGAGCCGAGGCCCTGAATCCACTGCCTAAACAGTACAGGGAACTCCAGAAAGTTGGAATATGGTTTCATGGTAGGATACCCTATAATTTACCATGGAAGGGTTAGGATAATCATATTCCAACTTTTCTGGCTTTTACCGTAGGAGCTCGATACCCGGAAACCCCGGAGCTGTGCTCTGAACCCTGAGCCCCGACGAGACCAAACAAAAAAAAACAAAGAGCGTAACTCCTTGGACTCTACTTGGAGGTTCATGGGGAGTTATAAGGTGGGGTTATGAGTAGGGTAGCTATAGTTATATCACCCATACTAGGACGTAGAACCCCACTTATACCTACCCATGAACCTCCAAGTAGACCCCAGGAGCCCTAAAGCCTAATCCGGCGCCAATAAGTTAACCGAAGCAAGGAGCTGTATTATAGCTATAACCCCAAGGGTCCAAGGGACCTTATAATTAGGTACTTGGTTTTAGGATAGTAGTTATGTAGGTTAGGATTTTGGAAAGTTTTTGATTGTTAGGTAATTGGACCCTTGGGGTATTGGCAGCCTCGACGCTGCGCTGCAGCGTTGCAAGCGTTGTCTCTCTCCACAACAATTTCACCATTAGAAACATTGTCAAACTGCTCGAGGGCATGTTGCTGCACCTGCCTACCTATGGAGCGTCATCCACTCCGTCAACAACGCGCTCTCCTGCACCCTTCGCGATTCTGCAGATCCAGTCATACTCTGTGTAACCCTCTTCAAGTCAAGCTTAAGACACCACCTCTCGTCTCCCATTGTAATTTGTTTTTCGGATTAAACGGTTGAGCAGCTTCATGGTCAATGTCCGATACATGAAAAGCAAAGCAACCAGGTAACCAATCAAAGCAACGACCATGGGGACTGTAGGTACGCCCTAGTATTATAGACCCCTTATAGGAAAAGAGGATAAGTCCTTACCCTAAACCCCCAAAAGTCTAAACCGTAAACCCTAACCCTTAAACCCTAAACCCTAACCCCTAAACCCTAAACACCCTAAACTTTCGAATCCGGGGAGCTCGGGAGCTGTGTGGTTGTTCGGCGGCGGGCCAAGGCTTTACACGAGAACAACACGGTGCCCATCAGATTCCATCTGAACTTCGACACGCTTTACGAGGACAAGGTTCAGGCACTCCTGCATCTGAAGGAGTGCAAACCTCTTGGGAT